ATCTATCTGCAATTAAAATGTTTATACATTAAAATATTATAGCTTTTGTTTTTAACAACACTTTTTTTTTTTTGTCAACAGCTTTTAATTAAAATTCAAAATAGCCATTCCTGAGGAATGTTGTTTACATAAGTGATATGATGCGGTTTGGTACGAACTTTTCGTGCCAAGTTATCTGCTTTTACATTTGCATTTCGAGAAATTAGAGATAATGAGAAACTTGAAAATTCTTCCTTGTCGTTCTTAAAATCTTCCAAATACACTGAAAAGGCCGGCCATTCAGTTGGCGAAGACACCATCTTCACCAGGTCTGAACAGTCTGTAAAGAAAGCTACATCTTGATTGTCGGCTCCAATCATACACTTCATCGCCCAGAGAAGAGCTTCCACTTCTGTATGTAATGGAGAAAGACTTTTTAACAACACTTATAGATCCAACACTAAACAATGTGATTTCATCTTCATCTATAATAGTGTCTTTGTGACTTTAGATTACTATCTTTACGTATCGTTTTTTGTTATTTTGAGATGTAACCTCAACTATTCCACTATATATTTATGCTGATATTTTTTTGGTTAAAAGCATTTGCTTCACCTGACGGAATCTCAAACGTGTTTAATTTCTTAAATTATATTATAAAATTATAGTTTCACTTAAGATGTGCTATACAAATTACATATCACCTTTTTTTAACCGGCTTTCATTTCAGTTTTTGTATATTTTGTTGTACAACTCATGAATAATATATATGACTATTGATTATTATTTTTGTTAGAAATAGATTATATATTAATTTTCAATTTTCATGATTTTCTAAATAATTTCATAAAAATGTGTGACCTAATGTCTATCTTCAACTAAAATTGGTGAGTTTAGAAATCTTTTAATTTTTAAATGAACATTTAGTAATAAATAAAATCTCTTTTTAGTATATTGTTGTTAGTAATAATGTTTCACTTAAAAATAAAAGTTCTTCAAAATCTTAGAAACACAGTTACATAACTTTTTTTTCTCTTTACCATGCATTTAAATTTTACATCCATTCTAAAACTCATTAACACATTCACAAATTTGAAGTATGTTCTTTATTATTATTTTTCCTGTTAAAAGTTGAATTATATTATTATTACTTATAAAATTTTTATAGTACTGTTTTAACTATTTTAAATCTTTTTTTTTTTTTTTGTGAAAGGGTTTTCTTATATAAATTAAACATAAAAAGTTTACAAAGAACCAAATAAGAAGCAAGAACCAAAACTAGAACTAGAATTGGAAAATAAACCAATAAAAGGTACGTAACAAAAGAAGGTATCGAAACCAATATTTTGATAATGATGGATAAGTAGAGAATTCAGCTCAATTCTCAGTACCCTCATTTAGCGTGTGCGCATCCAGCATTGAAGAATAGGTAAAGCACTTTTTGATCCAAGCTGGTGCAAAGCAGTGCACTTGTTTTCTATGGTGGAAATGACAAGGTTTGCAACTGTAGATGGAAGTAAGGTGAGACCATCATGATAACGTCGGTTCCTCTCATGCCATAGTTCATAAATTACACCCTGCCACCCGTGTAGAACTGCCAGTTTGCTATACTTAGTTGGTAGAGCATTTGGAAGCCATAGGAGGACCTGATCCCAAATAGTAGGAGGAGATAATATTCCCAGCTTTTGTGTTATTAAACTCCATACCTGAGCCGAGAAAGAACATTCAAAAAACAGATGATTCCGAGTTTCCTGAGCTAAACCACAAAGAAGGCAATCTCTTTCAATATCATAGCCCCAAGAAGCCATACGATCCAAAGTAGGATTGCGATTTAAAATAAAAATCCATGTAGTAGTTGCATGTTTTGGTATAACCGCTTTGTGCCAGACAAGAGGTGCCCAAGAACACAAATCTCGTGAATCTCTAATTGAATTCCACACATCTTTTGAAGAAAAAGATCGACATGGTAGTCCATTTACCGCCCACATGGCCTTGTCACTGGAAGAGGAGAAAGTAACAGTGGAGATGAAAGCGTATAAAAGGACTTGTCTCTCAGTTCTAGCATTGGAAAGAGACCAACCATCGACATTCCATACTTCTGCCACAGTAGATAACAGAGGGATCCCTAAACGAGAAGGTCCATCTGCACCAAGGAAGTGATAAAGCGATCCATAAGGGGTCCATGGATCCCACCAAAAGAAAGTGGAATCACCATTTCCAATTTTGATGCTGAGAAATTTGAGAGCCTTAGGTCGTAGCTTGAGTAACCTTCGGAAAATCCACGAATAAGCATAGTTATTGGCATTCAGTGCCCAAAACGAAGAAAGTGAAAGGTATTTTTCCCGTATCCAAGCCACCCAAAGAGAACCAGCCCGAAAGAACAACATCCATATAAGTTTTAAGGCACAAGTCCCGATCCAAGAACCAATGTGCCTCAAACCCAATCCTCCCTCTTTCTTAGGAAAACATATATCATGCCAAGCCACCTTAGCACCCGAGGCAATACCAGCCTTGCCATGCCAAAGAAAGGAGCTGCATAGGCTATTTATTTTCCGGGAAACCTGCTTTGGCAAGAAAAAAACACTTGTCCAAAATCCTATAATACCTGAGATAACGGATGATAAGAGTGTCAACCTTCCTGTGAAGCTAAGGAACCTATGAGTCCAAGAATTAAGTTTCTTTCTTATTTGATATAACAAAGGGTCACAGTCCTTAACAGAAAGCTTTCTGGAGCTTAAGGGCAGCCCCAAATACCGTACTGGAAGTGAAACATGCTTGAGATGAAAAACATTAGTTAAGTGTTGCAAGTCTCTCTCACCCAAACCAGAACAGAACAAAGAGGTTTTCTCAACATTTATACTTAGCCCTGACATCCTCTCAAAATCAGCCAAAACTGACAATACTCCCCTCAAAGAATTCTCAGTACCATCCAAGAAGATCAGCAAATCATCAGCAAAACATAAATGAGTAAGCTTCAACTCCTCACAGCCAAGGTGATAACCAAAAGAACCCATCTCTGCCGCCTTATTCAACATAAGAGACAACACATTCATGATCAAGACAAACAAAATTGGAGATAAAGGATCTCCTTGACGTAAACCTGATTTGCCCTTGAAAAAACCAGAAGTAACACCATTTATACTCACACTAAAGGAAGGAAAGCAAACACAAGCCCGAATCCAGTTAATAAAAGGCATAGGAACATGATAAGCTTGTAGAGTGGTAAGGAGAAAATCCCATCTAACCGAGTCGAAAGCCTTTGCGATGTCCACTTTTAGTGTTATTCTCGCCTTCCTCGAGTTGAGATGATAGCCTTGCATAACTTCCGAAGCAAGTAACACGTTTTCCAACAACAACCTATCTTTGACAAAGGCTGTTTGATTGGGAAGAATCAGATCAGGGAGAATAGGTTTTAACCTGTTGGTGAGCAGCCGAGATATGATCTTGTAGACAGTGTTAAGACATGATATAGGTCGAAAATCTTTCAATTCCTTTGAACCTGGCCTTTTTGGAATCAAGACAAGAGAAGTAGAATTTAAAGCTGTGGGAATAAAACTGTCTTGAAAAAACTTGAGAACCACTGTGATTAAATCTTGACCAATAATACTCCACGTAGATTTAAAAAACTCCACTGGAAGCCCATCTGGCCCTGGAGTTTTATTGAGAGGCATTTTGAAGAGACATGACCTAATATCCTCACCAGTAAATGTAGAGAACAACGCTTCTTGTTGCACATCTGAGCAAGTACTATGAATTAAGAAGTTCAAGAAACCTGGCAAGGCAGGACAATACTGACCTCTTATTGTAGTGAGAATACCGGAGAAATGGTTCACAGCAAGTTCGTGCACCTCTTGGAGGGATGAAGTGTATGATCTGTCAGGTTTCAACAAATGTCTTATAGCATTTTCCGCATTCCTTGCAGTGGTGACACTATGGAAGAAAGAAGTGTTTAAATCCCCTTCACCCATCCATCTAATGCGTGATTTCTGCCTGAAGAAACTTTCTTCTGTAAGACAAAGACCGGACCAAATATCCTTTGCTGAACTCTCATTCTGAAGGTTTAGCGGAGAAGGATCATTGAATGATATCAACTGAAGAGATTTTAGAGTAGAGTGCGCCTCCAAGACCCTTTTCTCAAGATCACTAAAATTATTCTTCAACAACGACTTCAAGGGTTGTTTCAATTTTTTTAACTTGAAACAGAAATCCTTAAGAGCTAAAACAGAACCCCCAACACTCTGCCACACTTCTTTAACTGAGTCAAGAAACAGGGGATGCTTAGCCAGAAAATTGAAAAATTTGAAAGGCCTTGTTCCATAAGCGGGAGGGTCTGTAACTAGCTTGATGTGGCAAGGAGTATGATCAGAAAATTATGGGGCTTCAAAAGTGCAATGGCTCAAAGGAAACCGTAATAACCATGTGCCATTCACTAAACATCGATCTATTTTCTTACCAATGGGGTCAAGAGACCTTTTATTAGTCCAAGTGAATTTAGGACCTCTAGAAGGAAGATCAAAAACACCCAAATCTGCTAAGCACTCACCAAACAATCTCATACCTCGCGTGGAGCTGACTATGTTAGGATTTGATGTTTCAGCAGGATGGAGAATCTCATTAAAGTCCCCATTAATCATCCAAGGCCTGCTTGACAAACAAAAAGAACTCGCTAAATTCCGGAGCGAAGCCCACAAAATTTGTCGATCCTCTTCTTCATTTGCTGCATAGACTGCAGTGTAAACAAAATTTGTGCCGTCCTCGAGAGTGATCTCACATGTGATTGACTGAAGATCTTTGAAAAGAACCCGAGCTCTAATGGGAGCTTTACAAATGATCCAAATTTTTCCCAAATCTGAAAACTGGTAATTAGACAAAAGGGTCCAGTCTGGACCAATGGTTGACAGAATCTGATTGATGTTTGTTTCTCGAACATGTGTTTCCAAAAGTGCTCCAAATGTAACGGAGCGAAACCTAAGCCAGTTAAAGAGAGGTCTATGCTTAGAAGTATCATTAAGACCTCGTACGTTCCAAAAAAAGGTATCTGACATATAAAGAGGTTAGTGGGAGTGGCGCTTCTCTCCTAGAATGGAGAGAACACCACCGTGAGGAGGAGAGTGTTGAGCATCCCACTTTCTCTTCTTCTTTTTCTTTTCCGAGAATGTTGACGAAGAGGAAGGCAAACCAGAATTTGCTGGGGAAAGAGCAGCTGCAACTAAGACCATATCACTCTCCGCTTCTTGCAGCATATCAAAAGGGTTGGAAGTACTAGGAGGAGGAATAGTAGCCAAAGCTAAAGTTGATGGAGAAACCGTATGAGAAGCTAATACAAAAGGAGTTTCAGACCTGGAGTGAGAAGGGGCTAAGTTCTCGGAGAAGCTACTAACCACACCAGCTTCTGATGGTGGAAGTTGGCCAGAGACAAGATTAACTTTTTGGACCTTCACAGGGTCATCAGTCACAGATGTAACTAACAAATCTGCGGAGGATTGGGGCATCGAATGAGAAACAAGTGGATGAGCTTGAGTATTAGAGGTCATAGGCGCAGAAGGAGCTGTTGTATCAACATTATGAACCACCTCTGAGACATTCTTACCTTGAACCTGAATCCAAACCTTTTTTGGTTCAGCCAAAGATGACCCTGGTTGCTTTGAAACTGGACTTTTGGAGGGAAGATTTTCTGATCGAGAATTAGACGACTGATGACCTGCGGGAGGAGCATTCAGACATAAAACAGACTTATGTCCAATTTCGTTGCAAATTGAACAGAGTGGAGGTAACCAGGGAAAAGTAACCGTCAAAAGCAAGATATGACCATCCTCTTGCTCAAGTTCCAAAACATTAGGGAGAAGCTTTGTAAGATCAACTACAACTTTAACTTCCGCAGAGTTTATACTATTGAAAGGTTATAATCCACAGCTCTCCCCAAAGGCCGACAGATGATGCTAAGCCCTTCGGGAGTAATCAGATCAAAAGGGATGTTCTTTATGGAAGCCCACACGGGAGCCCTATCAAGAGATGGAGGGTTAAATGTGAATTCAGACGTCCAAGGCATAACAAAGAAAGGAGAATCACCCACTCGCCATAGTTCATGCTGTAAGACACGCTTTCACAAGGATGGTGAAGGAATATAGAAAAGGAAAGCATTATTGGTCAGATTATGAACAGTTACTCTCTTATCCTTTCCCCAGAGGAAGTTTAAAACTCCCCAAATCTTACCATAAGATGGTGCCCTACCATAGAAAACGCCCACTATGTAATCTTCGTGAAGTTTTGCACCACGTTCAAATACTGCGTTTGGAACCTTCACCCTAGGACGACCTTCGGTAGAAATTGAAACCGGAGCTGAAGAAATTGGTATTTTGCCTGAAGAGGTAACATTTTTTGCCCAATTGAAACCAGCTCCTAAAACTCCAGCAGTTGGATTAGAGACCCGTGAAGTTGGCGAGACAACCGACGGAGAAGAAGACTCTATCGGGACAGAGGGAAGAACGTAAGCGTTATCCCGTGCCAGAAAAGAAGAAGGGGCCACTCCGAGAACTCCTCTCTCAGAGGGAATATCATGAGTTTTCAGATTTACCAGAGGAGGAGAGGAAGAAGATGACAAATCTGACATCTCCACATCGATTGGGAAAGAAAATTGAACCCGTGAAGGAGAAACAGAGGAAGGCGGCGCTGAAACCGGTAGAATCGGAGAAGGCGGAGCTGGATCCGGTGGAATCGGAGGAGGCGGAGGAGGCAAAGCCTCAGGCATTGTTGAGAAGAAACGTACGGCGGCGGCTAGGTCTGAAGCTTCGTAAAAACTATTTTAAATTTAATTTATTTTATATTATTTGTTTTTTATTTAATTAAAATTTCTATTAATTATAACTTTATAACCAACATAAATATGTACTAAATAAACATTCTGAATATATTTTAATACAAAGGCTCCGATTGATGACCAAAAACAGAACGATAGGAACAGAGAAAAAAAGAAATGAAAAGGAACAAAAAAAAAAAAAAAAAATGACCAAAACTAGGAACCAAAAGAAACATAAGAATTGAACAAATAATTATGGTAATTGGTAACCAAAAAATTAAATAAATATTTAACATAATAACAATTAAAAAAATCATATATTTTATTTAGCTTATAAATTTTATTTAAAATTAATGTTTTATATAAATTTAAAATAAAATATAGTATAAATTCAAATATTTTATTTTAAAAATAATATAAATTTCACTTGAAACTATTTATTTATTTAATTAAGTATAAATAAATATGATTTGTTTTAAAGATGACAAAATCTCTAATAGATAGAGTTAACACGTGTCGCGATCACGTGAGTTAGCAAATTTGAGAACAAGTTGTTAGAGTATTCTCCGCTTGCTTACAAATATGTGAGCTTTGACAAATTGTTGATATTAAGTCATATACGGTACTTAATTTATTTTCTTAATATTGCTTCAAAATGTTGTATACAAAACAAATGTTGCTTCAAAATGTTGTATACAAAACCTTGAATAAAAGTTTCGTGTCTTTTATTGTATTAATTTACAGTTAAGTATATCTGTATATGTTGTGCTCCCTATAATCTTGTCTAGCTAATCATGGTTCATTAGTACAAATGCGCCTAATTGATAAATTAACAAGGAAGCCCAATAAAGGCCCAGCAACCTCATATCCAGATTATATTAGTGTACCATTGTAGTTACGACTTCGCCTCTAATTTCTTGTTGAGGACTCGCGTCTTTAGGGTTTTGAACATTCGATCCCAATTTCAGTCTCCTTGACGAATCTTATATTTTTGGTTTCTTTGGATTCTTTTCCTTTTCCTTGATCATGATTAGCTTTTCAAAACGGGCTTGGTTTAAGAACTCGGTTGCCTTACTTTACAGAACGTTCTCTAGAAAGAAAAAGAAGCTGACGTTTTTGTCGCTCCCTGATGAAATTGTCTTGAACTGTTTAGCCCGCATATCGAGATCACACTACCCGAAACTCTCCCTAGTTTGCAAGACCTTTCGCACTCTTCTCATATCTAATGAGCTCACTGTGGCGCGATTGCACCTTAAAACCCATGAAACCTTTTTTCATGTCTGCTTGAAGTTTCCTGATAAACCTAATCCCTCAATATTCACCCTCTGGATAAAACCTGGTCAAATCTTAACTAACAACCTTGAGAAGAACGAGAGGTTTATCGGAGATACTCGGTTGGTGCAAATACCTTCTTCATATTATTTTAATGTACCAGCGAACGTCATTGTGGTTGGTTCCGAATTTTACGGACTCAGCCAACGCAATGATCCGTCCTCCAAAATGTTTGTCCGTGATAAGGATATTTTGTGTTGGCGTAATTCTCCCAACATGACTGCAGCTCGAGCTAAAGCCCGTGCAGTCGTCTTCAATGGGAAAATATACGTGATGGGAGGTTGCGCGGCTGCTGAATCCGCGAATTGGGCTGAGGTTTTTGACCCAAAGACTCAAACTTGGGAAGCTTTACCTGACCCTGGAGCCGAGCTCCGCTTTTCTTCAATTAGAGAAATAGAGGTGATCCAAGGAAAGCTTTACGTTAGAAGCAACGAAGACAAAGACTCTGTTTATGATCCAAAAGAAGGTAAATGGGATGTTACAAGAAAATCACCCGTGCAATGTAGGATAGATAATGTATGGTATTATTGTTCCAAACAGAGGTGCTGGTGGTATGACAAAAATCGCAAAGAATGGAGAGTGGTCAATGGTTTAGATATATTGAACAGGAATCTTGGTTGTGGTATGATTGAAATAGCTAACTATGATGAGAAACTCTTAATCTTATGGGACAAGGTTGGTCCTTCTCAAGACAAAGATATTTGGTGTGCCTTGATTGCGCTTGAAAGACGCGTTGGTAGTGATGAAGTTTGGGGAAACATTGAGTGGGCTAGTATCGTGCTTACGGTTCCGAGCTCATACGTTTTCTTGTATAGTCTACTAAATGCGAATTGATTAAATCTAATCATGTTTTTGTTTTACCATTGCCAAAGGTTTTTTTTTCTCTCTTTATTCTTTAGTTTATTGTGGCTTTTATACATAAAAATGTAAATTAGTGGCATCATCAACGAGGAATACATCCAACTACAAAATATTGTTTTAGACGGACATAAAGTTTCGTGGTAAAAAGATTTGTTTTAATTATAGGCAATTAGAGACGCATTATTTGTACGTGAAGTGAATGAGCAAGTCAGATGTTTCATAGCTTTCACATTCAGATTTTTCGCCTTACTTTGGTCTGCATCTTTATTCACACAAAACCGTAGAAGTTTGGCTTCAGATACCTTGAGGAAATGTGATTTGCTACTTGTAGCTGTTGGGCTCTCCAAACCCAAGCCAACTCCAGAACCTAACAGTAGTCTATTACTGGAAATGCATATAAAAGACTAAGAGCTTAAATAGATTTTGAATTGTCAAAGTCACATGAATTCAACTGCTTGCCATTTGATGTCTCTATATAACTTTGAATTCAAAACAAGAGCATACAAAAAAAAAACCCGTAAAAGTAAGTCAGATGTTTCGTAGCTTTCACAATCCGATTCTTCGAACTTTACTTTGGTCTACTTCTTTACTCACACAAGACCGTAAAAGTTTTTGTTCTAAAGGCCCCAATGTTCGGAAAAACCCGGGAGTTTTACGTTCTGTCAGAAATCAAAAAAGCGTATGATTTATGTTATTGACAATGAGCCATAAGGCTAAGTATTTATACAAGAGACTAGATTTTAACCCGCGGTACACCGCGGGATAATTTATTTTTAAAGTTAGTATAAAAATATTTTGTAAATTGTATTTCCTTATAAAATATTTATTTATATTATAGTTTACAATTGTTATTAAGTAACGGTATACCACGAGTCCACGAGACAATTGTTAATAAACTGAGGATTTAACCCGTATTAAAGCGGCATGTTAATGATATATATAAATATTGATTCAAATTCGTCCGCCATATAAACCCGTTCCGAAATATAACCCGTTCCGTAATTTCTTAATCCGTCCCGTGATTTGTTTTTATTATAAAATTTAATGATTATTTATTATATATAAAAGTTTACAAATCATATCATTCTCTAAGTCATTTATATTTTAATAAACTGAAAATTTAATCTATATTAAAGCGGCATGTTAATGATATTTTAAAATTTTATAAATATTGATTCAAACTCGTCCACCATATAAATTCGTTCCAAAATATAACCCGTCATGTAACTTCTTAACCCGTCCTGTGATTTATTTTTTAAAAGTAGAAATTTAACGATTATTTATTATATATAAAAGTTTGCAAATTGTATCATTTTCTAAGATATTTATATTTTATAGTTTACAATTGTTATTAAGTAATATTATACCACGGGACAATTTTTGGTTTTATACAATCTTTTCTAAATGAGATTCATTTAATATGTCTAACATTGGTGGGATTAAAAAAAAATTAAGGATTTAATCCGTATTGAAGCGGCGGATTAATCATATTTTAATCTTTTTATTATTGTTGATTCAAAAACCCGTCCCGCCAAACCCGTCCGGCCAAAAAACTCATTTATTTTATTAATGTTGATCTTATTGATGATATGATTCTGAATCATTGTCTAAATATTTTAATCGATGTAGAACGTCGAACACACATTTTCGTCAACTGGATAATATATGTCCGTTTTTAAAATTTCGAATCACAGTATATGCAGAAAAAAATTTTTTTTACTTTATGTATTATATGAGGATTCAAAACAGTTAAAAACAAATCAAACAAAGATAATAGGAGAATCATAATTCTAAATCTTAATCAAATCTTCTAAATATCTAAATTATTAAATATAGAAATATCCGGTGTATGAGTTGGGTTAAATATAACCCGACGCAAGAATTTTTTTATGACCAAAATTTGGAAACGGGTCGGGTATCCAAATAACCCGAAAGTATTTTTACCCACCCGTCACCAAAGTGTTGCAAAAATACTAGTATAGATTAGACCTAATCATAGAGATAGTAAATGACTAATCTACCCATACATATTTATCTCACCAACACCCTCCCTCAAGATGGAGCATGGAGGTTACAAATTCCCATCTTGGACTTAAATGCTTCAAACTCAGCTTGGCCGAGTGGTTTAGTGAGGATATAGGCCAACCGGTGCTGTGTAGGAACATGAGACGTTGTAATAATCCCACGTTTAATCGCATCACGTACAAAATGACAGTTATTCACCACATGCTTCGTTCGTTCATGGAAGACCGGGTTGGCAGCCAAATGAAGAGACGCTTTACTATCACAAAACAACTCCACCGGCGCCAAATGATTAACCCCAAGACTCAGAAGAAGCGCCCAGAGCCACATGATCTCATGAACCATATATTGCATTATTGCTCTATATTTTGACTCCGTAGATGAAAGTAAAACCGTTTTCTGCTTCTTTGTTTTCCACGATATTGGAGCTGGCCAAGTTGAATAAAATAGCCAGTGACGGACCGGCGTCTAAGAAGACACTAGTTCCAATCATAATCACACCATGCTGTTAATTGCAATGGAGAATCAGCCCGAAGTAAAATTCTTTGACCCAGATTACCTTTAAGAAACCGAACAACACACAGAGCGGCATCCCAGTGATAAATCTTCGGTTGCTTCATAAACTGAGTCAAAATATGAATAGCATATGATATATCCAGTCGAATAACTACAAGATAGATTAACCTGCCAACCAAGCGACAATAACGAGGTTGTTCGGGAAAGTCAGCACTCTTAGAAAGAGCAAGCCGGGGATTCTTGTCTAAA